AGAATGCACATTTTTTCTTTTTACATCGGATCTGTTTAATATCACTTTTTTTTTTTTTTTGAGACAGGGTCTCACTTTATAGGTCAGGCTGGCCTCAAACTCACAGCTATCCTCCTGCCTCAGCCTCCCCAGTGCTGGGATTTGAGGCACACCCGACCATGCCCAGTCGCTGTTCTCAGACAAGAGTAGAAATAAATCACATTAAGAGTCTGAGGGAAATGAAAGGATAAAGTCAAATAAAGGTTGTTTGGGAGGAAGAACCTTTCAAGTTATGATTTCTAGAACCAGTTTAACTCAAACCAATCCCTTTTCCCAAACTGGAGAGATGGAAAGTTCTTTTATAAAGGTTACGTCCTTGAGTAGAAAATTAAATGGAAGTGGAAAGTTGGCCTCAAACTATACCGTTCTGTGCCCTGAGGAACTGGAATTAATTTGAAACCAACTATTACTCACTGTGATTATGTCAGTAGGGAAGGGGGATGTCTCCCCTGTCCCCTGCCTTCCCGCCCTGCACTCCAGCAAGAGTCACTCCAGTTCTTTGACGTGACAGGCGCTGGGGCACTGGGAGTAGTTTGTTCAGAGCTTTGCAAGCCCAGCGCTACAGAGCAGCCGGGACACCCTCTTTCCAGGGTGCCCCAGGAGAAGGTGCGGGCAGAAAGCAGGGTGAGGCACCTTTTGGAGGTGAATCACCTTTTCCCATTTACTTGCATCACCAAGTGGAGACACCTTTCTTGAGGGAACAGTCTGGTGAGTTTCTGGAGCATATAAAGAAATTTCATTTGAGGACACAGTGAATTTTCCTCAGAGTTAAAAGGACAAGACCTAAGTTTTTTTTTTTCTTCACACACTAAAGTAATTTTTGTGAAACTTGGAAAAAAAACCTGGAAACTGAATTCTCCTGAGATTAAAACCCTTCTAAATATCACAGTTAGTGCTTGTGCAATTCTGCACCTTTGGGAAAGGTCAGGTTTCTGCCATTTTCTCCGTTTCTGGCTCCTTTTTCTTACAACTTTCTCACTACCTTCATAAATACTCCTTCCCAGCTCCATAAATCATAACTATTTCCTTTGAGAGACATTTGAAAAGTAATGTTTTACTATTTATTTTATTTGGTTTAAATTCTATCTTAGAGCTCTTAATGTACTATTTTTTACTAAGTTCTCCTGTAGTTAAATAAAGACAGCTTTATTTTTTTTAAAAAAAAATTAGATAAATGTAGTTGGTTAATTCCATAATTTAAAATCTTTGTTGGTCTAGATTTCAAAATGGAGAAGAGTCTCTGAGCTCGCTGGAACTCTTTGCTTTTGAAAGAGCCCTTTATTTTGCTGTGAATAACGTTTCCTTATAAACAGAAAATAAAAGAAAGTTTGGCAGAACTCTCCTCCCAATGGGTGGAAACATTACAGGGGATTGAGAAATTGTTTCTTTTCTGGCTGCTGGGAAAATTCTGCCAATGAAATTTAGTATTAATGTTTCAAGATCGCTGCTTCAATCATCATGAAAAACCTGCTGAATGGCTAGCAGCTTCCAGGAACAGGTACCAGTTTGACCGTCTTGCATTTGGTCTGTCAAATTTTCTAAGTACTCCGAGGTTATGATACAGAAAATTGTATTCTGTTCTATGTAAGGCTTGAGCTCCTTTTAAGGGGACCTTCAAAATACTTCAGCTCTTTAAAAGTGATTTTGTCAAAAAAACTTGGCCTCAATTGGATGCATGTTTAAAGAAAAAAAAAGAGGGGTGGGATTCTGTCTGTGCCCAAATAAGAAATCAACCCTAAGTACAGATGCCACCTTTTGGTCTCCACTTCACACCCGGGCTTTAGAACGTGGACAACTCCATTGTGGCTCCTAAAACTGTGTCCTAAGCTCCAGACCATTTTGTCACCTGACCTTTGCCTATGTTAATTTTTTATCATGGTAACAAAAATAACTGGGAAAAAAATCAACTTGTAAAAAGAAAAGCTTTATTTCGGGCTCACAGCTTTGGAGGGACCCGGCCATCACCGGCTAGGGCACTGCTTCTGGTGGGAAGAAGCAGGGAGTGGAAACTGCTCACCTGACAGTCAGGGGCAGAGAGAGTGAGAGGGAGCCTGGGTGGACGGCTTCCTCGAGGGCCTCCTCCAGCAGCTCAGGGACCTCCCGGAAGGCCCCACCTGCGGGAGAGTTCCCCTTCCTCCCTGCAGTACCACTCCAGGGACCGTGTATGTCACACGGGGCTGCTGAGAGCATCTGCGCTCCAAACGATGGCAGTCCTCTCTCATTTGCCCACAGATACGCCTTACCTGGGTTCATGGGATAAACCATTACTCAGTTTGGCTCCTAGACCCATTTCCTGTCTAAGCTCCTTGGAGGCTCTGTAGGCAGCATCACCACGTGCCTCCTTGTCCTACCCTGGCCTCCTCGCTGGCATTCTTTGTGCCCTCCCCTGCAATCCTTCCCCAAGTCCTGTGATTTCCCTCACCGCAGCTGTCTCCTTCCCTCCACGGCTCCACCACCTAGTGCTCAGCTCAGGTCACGGCGCTGTCATGTTCTGCTTTCTCTTACAGCCTCACAGCCATCACTTACTCTTAGCTTTTCCTCTCCCATAATCCAGGCTCTACTCAGAAGGCGAAGCAATTTTTTCTAAATTTAGTCTTCATCATCTTAATGTCTAACCTAGGATGGATTTTTCTTGCTTTTTAAAAAAGATGTATCATGTACACAAATTCCCAATGATGAATGTGATCGTAGTGCATGCCTAAAATGCTTCAATTAACTTAGCGAATAAAAAAATTTCAGAAAGTTCCCATATTTTTAATAAGAATGCAGATTTTGGAATTAACAAGTGAGAAATCTAAAGGAATTAGATTAATGGAAAAAGAGGTAATTTAGAGAAAATATAATCCATCTATTGAGAGTTTTGGTACTTTCTAAATTCAATTTCATCATAAAGTCCATCTTTAAGAATATATTATATGCCTCAGTTATTATGTGCTGCAAAAATGTACCCGTAGAAAAAAACCTTTAATTCTAACAATAAATAAATTCCTTAAAAGCCTCATCACAATTTTTAATGATAAAATCTAAATGGTGAACTCAGCCTTTGCTTGTGTTTCTGTGTTTTCATGCTCCGGTTACACTGGTCCCCTGACATATCACGCCTGTGTTGGGGTTTAGATTTAGAATGCTCCCCCGAGGTGATCGGAACACGAAGGTACTGTGCTCACCAATGGACTGAGTTTGCTGTCAGGGTTTGGGATCTAGTAGATGCGTCCCTGGAAGGGTGCATCTCCCTCCCCACGCCTCCCTTCATTCCATGTCTTGGCTGCCTTGATCTGCGTACCATTCCTCTGCCTGATCTCTTCTACCATGCTCTTTCTGTCTTTGAATCTACTAAATGTGGACTGAAACTTCTGAAAATGTGAGTCAAAATAAACCTCCTTTCCTAAGTGCGAATGTGGGGTATTGTGTTCCACTGACTAGAAAGTGACTTAGCAATAACTGGACAACTCATGGTGAGTTGAACTCACGATGGAATTAAGTCTCAATAAACCCATTGCAAGTTGAAAACATCACATAAAAAATGCATTTAACACACTTGACCTACTGAACATCACAGTTTAGCCTAGCTTACTTTAAGCATGTTCAGAATACTTATATTAGTGTACAGGTGAACAAAATCCTCTGACACAAAGCCTGTTTTATTATAAAGTATTAAACATTTGCTTTCATTTACTGAAGACATGGAACTCTCATTTAATTTTCAAAAAGGTAAATCAAGCATAGAAGACTAAAATGTCTCCAGTAGGAAATCCACTCTACTTTGAGTAGGGCTGGTTGTGACTGTCAGGTCCCTAAGCACAACTCTGCCTTGCTGGACTCAAAGCTTTGAAGCTCAGTCTTCTCTGCACAAGAATCTTTATTTGGCTTTGGATTGAGGCCAGGCTGTCATCTTGTCTTCCAAAATCAGGAGGAAGCATTTGGAGGGATATCCATCAGAAGCAGACATTGGCTTTGAGGTTGGAGGGCTGAGGTTGTATGATACCCAGAAGGAAAAGTGTGCTATATATTTGGGAATAAAGTAAAGCAGTCTTTATAGCAACTTTATAAGGCATCCTTGAGTATGTAAGGCGTTTTTCCATACAATGTTTATCTTAAACAGGTTCTCTTTCTACCTAGCTTTTTATCTTAATTCTCTGTATAAAGGGAGAATTGCCTGCTGTAAAGAATTCACTTTGAAACCAATGCAAATACCTAGAAGGGCCAAATAGGCTCAAAGAGACATCCCCCAGGGGCTGTATTCACTGGAGACCCTCTATTCCAAACATCTGGGGTCTTTGCTCAGAACAAGCCTAGCAGAGCCTTGTGTTGCAAAGCACAGAGCTGCTGCTCCCTGGCCACCATCACCAACAAGCCATTAGGGAGAATCCATGCAGAATTAAAATCCCTTGCACCTTCTTGGATCCTAATTCACCCCACGTGCCAGGTCTCCCGTGGGCTTTCAGGGTTTTTTTTTGTTTTTTTGGAGTTTTTTTGCTGCCCACTTTGGCTTCAGAAAAGTCCTTTTTTTCCCCATTATTATCCACATTGCTGTGGCTTGGAGCTGTAGTGCATTTGTCAGATGTATTGTGAGTCTTCGTTCCTACCACTTTCCTGGTGGTGATTCAGTACTGGGCGAGGATCTCTCCATCTGGGCAAGAAGGAAGGAAAACAGCTCCCTGAGCACTTAACCCAGGGCTTTAGCATTTTTCTTAAAGACAGGTTCCTGTCTGTTATCTGATTTGAACTTCCTTCCATGTTCTTAGGATGAGAAATAAATCTTTACATACACATTCCAGGGTTAGTGTCCAGGTGTATGAAAGAAAGTCTCGGTCCCCTGCTTTTATTTATTTATTTTTTCTTTTAATTTTTATTATTTTGGGTGGAGGGGTTGTTCAATTATCTGGCTAAGGACAGTGTTGTCTGCCTCTAGTTTACACTTCTGTTTCGAAGTTTATTTTATGTTTTGTTGTGGTTTTCAGATTTCTCATGGTTTGGATTTGGGAAAGTAAAATCAAGACAAGGTGTTGGTAAGTAGTGATTCCTTCTTTGGCTAAGTACTGAGTTTCTGTTGTTTAATTCAGAAGAGAGCGCTCAGATCCTGTCCATATTCCTCAGTCCTTGACCCATTTCCTATGTGCCTGGTTTATGATTTGTTGAAGAGGGAAGTCTAGATTTCTTTTTTTCCAGAAAGGGTATTGCTTTTGCTAATTGAGTTCAGTAAATGGTTTTGCATTTTCCAAGTTGACTTTTTTTTTCCCCGTGGAGTTGTGTCAGTTGTAGACAATCTCACTTTTCAGGTTGAAGACATAAACTGCAACTACACTCCAGCTATGTGTGCAGTACATAGTTGTCTGTGCTGTCACCTGGACAAGTTGGCTCTTAACTTTGTTCCACTGGCCAAGAAGTAACAGGGTTTTGAATTGGTGAATCAGCTGCTCATTTGTGGCCACTTTAAAGCCCAAGCACTGTGATTTGTGCTTGATTACATCCGTCCCTTGCATTTAGGCTGTGTGCTCACAATTGAAAGGAAGTATCTGCAGCTAAGCAAGTGAATGAGGATGATGCAGCTCATCATCAGGATTAAAGTCAGGCGTGATTCTGGGTCCTCCGATTCAGTATTTTCTGTAGGTACCAAGACAACAAGGCAAAGCACAGAGCAGGCAGGGAACACAGACTGTTTTATATTATTCATGGGCAGAGTGATATGACTAGGATTTGACCATCGTGGGCAGATTCTGTTGTTGGTTGGAATTTCTTCTGGTAGCAGAGATGGATGTAAGTATGGCTGCATAGCAAGGGAGAACCATCTGCCCTTTATTTGTTCATCCTATCTGTGTAAAGAAACTTGTTTCCTTTGCCTTTTTTGAGCCTGATATTAAACTTTGTCCTGTAAAGCAGCCTCCCTCAGTGCCTTGCAGTGGGCTGAGCCCAGGCAGAAGAAGTAGACTGGCCATTTGGGCCCTGGAGGGGAAAATCACCCAAACCCTTAACAGCCCCAGGGAGTTCAAAACCAAAGTGCTTAACAAACAAAGGAAAAATACAAATGTGGTCTCCTTGGGACAACAAGCTCAGTGAGCTCAAGACCTCCTGGCCTCTTCCTAGGGGCACTTTCAGACATGGCCAACCACCTGTGCTTTGCAGGCATCAGAGTGACTGTCCTACCTGTGAGAGCTTTGAAGGTGTCCTGCTTTAGGACTTTGGTGGTGGTGGTGTGGGGTGGTGGGGGAGATGATAAAGTCTCTCACAACAGTGCTGTACAACGATGCCTTCTTCTTTCCACTGAGTTTATACTACAGAATGTTCTTGTTCCCAGAAAGCTTCAAAATTCTGGGTTTGCCCTTTTCAACATAGCACAAAGCATTCATCAGAATCCACCACTACAGCCCCTCAGAGGTGGTTTTATAATCCAAGTCTGGTGAGGCCTACAGCTAGGAGATGACGGCCAGCGGAAAGGAAAGACAGACTGCTGGGTTGCTGCTTGCAGTTCCCAAAAGGGGACACTTCCGGCCACAAAAGGCTGCCCAGCAGGACCCTGCAGTCAGTCGGAGGTGGAGCAAACACATGAGAAGGCAGCAGTAAGACAGAGTGAGCTGGCTTAGGATTGGCCCTTTGGAGTAATTTCAGCAGGTTCTGGGCACAGGTGCTCTTCTGAGTTTTCAGGTACCTGATCCTGAGACAGCTAGGGCCAGTCCACAGTCACTGGACTGCAACACCAGATGAGGAAGTGGTTAGAGATGCAGACTGTGCCTTGAGTGTAAGACATACTTGCAGGCATGGCATTTACTGTCTCTAGCAACTGGCCAGCCCTGGAGAGACTCCCTCCACTGTCAGCAGAGTACCGGCTGCTAAATCCTTAGAATACAGAAAATAAAAGACACGGTTACTATACCTACTCAAGAGTAATCATCCCTCCCCTTACCTTCAGGCCTTTTGCGGTATTGAGACAAAGGAACTTCTTTCCCAGGTGACCTTTTTCCATCATTTTATTGGAAAGTAAGTCAAAGTTAGGCTTACAAATGTCTAAACAGCTGTGCCGGCTATGTAACCAAGAAGCTCTGATAAGAGAAAAGAAATGCTTACTTACACCTAAAATAAGTTAAAATAAAAATTAAAAAAAAAGCTAAAAGTTTTTTCTGGCATAACTCATATTTATCAGTTCAGCTATTAGAACTATCTATGCCATAATCCTACATTCTTAGCAGCTTGAAACTTTATATTAATATCATGATACATTTTCAAGTCTATATATGAGTTTCTTGTAACGTGGTTCTGACTCTTCTCTCTCTTCTTCCTGGTGGCTGCTTAAATACGAACACAGACACAGGAAGACATTTCTCATGAAGGGCACAGACAGGCTGCTGTCAAACTGTATAGACCATTGTTCCCGCAGAGAGCTCTTTTCCCGTCCCAACTTTATTGTTCTCTGCATCGGCTTACACCGAAGTGTCCATAGGAAAAAAAAAAGAGCTTCATTCCTGCAACCTCTCCAGCCTGATAAATCTCCCAGGTTTTGGAACATCGCTAATGAAGGAAACAACGCTTGAATTAATATCCCATGTGATGAATTGTGGGGGTTTATGTTGCTCTGATCTGTCTACAGCAACTTTCCTTTTGAAAAATTACCTTTTGTGCTTTATGCCACTTTTGTGGCTAACCAGTCTCCCAGCTTCCTCACCAAACAGTGTATTCTTTTGCAATCTGTTACGTTAGAGTCGGGGTTTTAATTGGAGGGAAAAGGGTGTCCTTTGGTGGAGAAGGAGAAGCAGACAGCAAGTTCCTTGGTTGGACTCTAGCAAGGGCTCCTCAATGTATGTGGCAGGGATTCAGAGCCTGAGTTCTGGAAGGAATCTCAAGATTGTCTTCTGAGTATCAACCTCCTCAGAAATGACTGAACGCTGCTGGAATGTTTGCATCCTGCCCTGGGCCTAGGGTAAACAAAGATACATGAAAGGGGTCAACGCATTTCTAACCCTTGGTGGGGCTCTGGGAGGAAGTGTCTCTGGCTTTCTGACAACATGTGGAATTTTGTGAAACTGACAACTCATACATTTCTTCCGGTAAGGATGGAGCCTGGAATCTGTTGGGAAGTGTGTGGCCTTGGCTGTAGCCTCTGGTGAAGCTGTGGGTATAGCTTGCTTTGACAACCTTGCAGGACAGCTGCTCAGGGGACCAGACGGGAGAACCAGTGACAGGAAGGTTTTATCCACAACACGGAGAAACCTTAGCATACCTCATGTCCATTTTCCATCACTGGCTGAAAGCTGATTTAAGCCTGTCAGGAAGCAGAGCATAAGACAGGGATGGTTGGGGATATTACAAAGACCTTGACTTTGTAGCTATTCTTGGCAGGATTTCTGCTCTTTGCTGACATGGGTGAGCGATGCTCAAGATGAGCAGGACTGCTAGGCTTGAATTGCTTTAGGTTCTCTGGTCTCTCAATTGGTTGTGTGAGGACTTGTTTGCAGAATTCAGCCAGGGTATATCATTAAAGGCAACTTAAATGCACATCCTTGAGGGAATGCTTTAAAAATTACCTATAATAGCAGTTGGCATCCTCCTGTAAGATTTGCTTGAGACATAGCTAGCTGGGGAATGTCCACCTGTTATCACTGCAAAATGCAATAATCCCCATATGGGGGGGAATAGATCTTGGAGGTTGGGGATGGGTTATCATTGCATTGAATAGGGGATTCGAAACTATGTCAAAGGCCCTGGCAAAACAATTTTGATTTTAGAATTGCTCTGGTTTTCAGTGAAGTATGTAAGTGTGAGGGAAAGGTGGAGAATGTGAGCAAATGCTGACACATGGATCCTTTCTGTGTGTGCTCCTTGCACGGGGAATAGCAATTCAGGGTTTTCCTTCCTCAGAGTGGCAGTGGCTTTGACTGGGCGTTTTATTCTGCCTTTTCACTCCCCTCTGTTTTCCCTCCTTATCATTTTTATTTACCACCTTTCTCTTGACTTATGACAGTAGCCACAACCAGTGATCTGCTTCTCAGACACATGTGAAATGTCTGTCTAACAAGACTTACCTGATTCCTGTTATGGCAAATCTATTGTGAATTATCAGGCATTTTGAAAATCTATTTTTGGTTGTTAGTATGTGTTTAGAGCTTGATGGATAATTTGTGTAGACACAATATGCAGTTGTAGAACTTACATATATGGTGAGACACAGTACTTTATATATATACACACAGAAGGTATGATAAAGTAAGTATAGGCATAGACATTCTGAGGATCGGGGCTGACAAAATTTAAGTCTTGAATGAAAAAATGCTATGATTATTACTGTAATATGAAGGCATCCATGTAATAACTCTATAAATAATATTATTGGTAAAGGCAAAGTACATGACTTTACCATGGGCTTGATCCATCGTTGTTATGAAAATATTTTGTAAACAAAAGTGGTACAGAATGTGGAAGAAAGGGAATATGGTAATAGGAAAGTCAAAAGTAATTCTAGCCCTGCAACTAACGTGCATTTAGAAATACCCAGTCGTAATTCACACGCATGGAGTGCATTTACATTCACAGTGCATTTTCATATCACTAGTCTCATTCCACTCCCATAAAATAGAAGCAGATAGGACTTTCATTTATGGTGAGCACATGGAGAGGTACGAAGAAAATAAGTGACCTGTCTGAAGAATGGACATGGAGATGGAAAGCTTCAAGATCCCAACATAGCTTTCAGTGCCCTGTGAAACAGGAACCCTAATTAATTGTGGGGTATCAGTCATAATGTTCCGAAGGTGTTCACAGAACAGAGAGGAAAGCTGCATACTAAATTAAGGGGGGGTGAAAAGTTAGAACCTTCATACACTGTTGGTGGGAATGTAAAATGGTTTAGCTTCTTTAGTAAACAGTTTGGTGGTTCCTCAAAATGTTAAACACAGATGGTGCACGCCTGTAATCCCAGCACTCGGGAGGCTGAGGCAGGAGGATCGCTGTGAGTTCGAGACCAGCCTGTACTACATAGTGAGTTCCAGATCAGTCTCAACTACATAGTGAGACTCTGTCTCAAAAAAACAAAACAAAACAAAAAAAGTTAAGCACAGAGCTATCAATTATACCCAAGAGAAATGAAAGTGTCCACACAAAACTTGTACATGAATGTTCCCAGTACCATTACTCCTAATAGCCAAATAGTACAAATAGCCCATGTATCCTTTCGTGGGTGGATAAACAAAATATAGTATATCCATACAATGTATTATTATTTGGAAATAAAAAGGAAGATCTGATACATGCTACAATGTGGAGGTCCCTCAAAAACATTATGCTAAGTAAAAGAAACCAGTTGTAGGGGGCTGGGGATTTAGCTCAGTGGTTCTTCTGCCTGCCTCACAAATGTAGTCCTGAGTTCAATCCCCAGTACCAAAAAAAAAAAGAGCCAATTATAAAAGGGAATATATGATATGATTCAGTTTTATGAAATGCCATATTAGGTATTATTCACAGAGCTGGAAAGTCAATTCATGGATGCCTTGGACTTGGTATGGGGCACATGGGGGATGAATGCTAATTGGGGTCATGAAAAGGTCCTAAAATTAGAATGTGGTGATGATTGCACAACTCTGAATGTACCAAAACTCAGTGAATTTTATGCTTGAACTTGATGAATTTTATGTACCTGAATTATAGCTCGGTTGAGGCCATTAAGTTACAGGAGAATATTTGTATCTTTTCCATTGCCAGGCCCAGCTTCAGTTATCAGCAATGATGATGACTCCGCCAGCCCACTGCACCACATCTCCAATGGGAGTAACACTCCGTCTTCTTCAGAGGGTGGCCCGGATGCTGTCATTATTGGAATGACCAAAATCCCTGTCATTGAAAATCCCCAGTACTTTGGCATTACCAACAGTCAGCTCAAGCCAGACACGTGTAAGTACAGCTGTTTATACCACTTGGCCCCTTTGCTGCTGCAAAACTGTGTCAGTGAGCATGTTTATCAGAGGGGCTCGGGGTACTGAGATGTCTAAGGATTCTTGCAGCCTTTGGCCGATGGACTAGATCTTCTAATTTCTTGTTTATGGAATTGTCACGGGTGTGTCTCCTACTGGGATGGGAACTCTGGAGAGATACTGACTTCTCTTGGGATCCATTTTCCAAAAACATTTGTCAACATGAAGTTGGAATCAAGGCATGATTCTCTTGAGAAAGAGACAAAAGCCAGAAGTACCATTAGAATGCATATGCATCATTTAAATATGGCAAGCAGTTGATGTAATTTGAATCTGGTTTATTGAAAGTAATTAAAATACATGCTCGAGGTAGTTGGGATAGTGCTTTGTTGCACACAGGTGGTATCACTTTGGGTAGCACGTACTTTGTTCAGTCCTAGTTCCCAACACCAGGCCTTGATGCCACACCAGCAGAGAAGTCTTGTAGCACATGATGTGTATGTGAATTAGGCTGACACATTTTTTCCAGACCAGATTAACCCATTACCCTCCATAACAAGCTTGAGGTTTTTCTCAGAGCTACTTCATATGTCCTCTGAGCCATTTCTCAAATATAAAATCTGCATCACAGATTCAAGGACAACCAAAAATAAAACCACAGTGGAGAAGTAGTCTCCTGCCACTGGAACTCCGGGTCTTCCCTCATATGAAAAATGGACCATGAGGGACAAGACATTCAGTGACCCAGATTCCAGGGCTTCCTGAGAGGGTGCCTTCTGTCTATTTACATGTTCTCGTCCTGTTTTAGATGCTAGTCCCCTTCCCTGTCTCCCAAGTAAGGTAGGACTATTGTAAAGTAGAACTGACCCTCTACTGAAAATTTACGTGGGATGGAAAGGCCCAGTGATGAATATCAGATTTGTTGATATGTAGCAAAGTACCTATAATTTCTCCCCATTCTGTCATATTTATCTTAAAGTGTGTTAAGTTGGGGATTTGAGATTAAGCATGAGAAATAATAGTATTACAAGTTTTTAATGTGTGAAATGGGCCCCACCACATATTTTAGTTGAATTTGTAATATGACAAGATAAATAGAAAAAGGTGTGTAAAGAATATTGAGAACCTTGAACTTGGAGGTATTACTGGAAATCAAGTATGTTTTTAATTCTCATACTGTTGTTGTGATGTAAACAAGATGAATCAAGGCATTGTTTAAAAACGAACATTCTTTGATGAGGTAGGCAGGCATCCTCCAGAAGTCCTTGAAATGTTGTGCATGAATAGTGGTCAAACATGGAGGAAGGTGAAACAGGATGCCATGGTGGGAGATTCTGTGATCATTTGGATTGTTCTCCATTGGGATGACACCCCCAGGACCAGGGTATACGATGCCCTTCCCTTAGCCCTAGGTTGTGTACAATTGAGGTTGACTAAAATCAACACGCCCTCACAAAGTTTGCTTTCCTTTTCGACGAGGGACAGATAAATTTAAAAACTCAAGCAGATACCTTCAGTCCAAAACATGCAATAAGAGAATGAACAAATGAGTAAGAAAGCAAAACAGCAAACAAAATAACAAACATTTTGGTTATTTTTAGAGACTCTTGGTTTTGTGCCTCAGACACACTGCATCACCCCCACTTAAAAGACATTGGAAGAGAACTGCGGAGACTGATGTCTTCCTCTCAGATTCTGGCCTCCACCCACCTGCAGACCCAAAGCCCCACATGACCATTCCTTCCTTAGGATGTCCTTTCCTGGCTTAGTGTTTGTAGTCATTCCTCATTCCAGGAGAAAATTTTTTAGTTGCCAAACCGTATATACTTTTTGATGATTTTAAGAATACTTCATATCACATGTTCCATGAGCACTTTTTCAAGGAAATTGAAATGAAGAAGAAATTCATTTTTCTCCTTCCTTGCACCCTTTTCTAAGTGTCACTATTCATCTCGTATTTTCCTTTTCAGTCTTCCTCAGTGTATCTGTTGCCTTCTGCTCCATAGCAGGCGTACCTCCTCTCACGTATGTGTCTGTGCAGTCTCACTGAGCTTAGATTGTAAGCTCCTGGACAGCAGCCCTTTCTTTGTTAAGCTGTTCCTTCATCGCATGGCACATATTGCTTCTTTGATGTTGGCCAGATATTGATCAGATGTGGTTATTACTGAAATAGCAATTACTAGCAAACTTGTAACAAAGATGACTCATGTCATTTTTCATTGGCTTTATTCCTATCAAACTCGATTGCATAATATTTATTAGACATGTTTTTAACAATATATTATTCAATCTAAACAGAGATAAAAATTTTTTAGCAGAAATAAGCTTTTAACAAAAAAAAATAAAAAATCCATTCTTTAGTTATGCTACTTATAGTCATCCAGAAGTTAAAATGTTTCAAAATGCACAGACCAGACATATAGGAGAATCTGTTGCTGTAGCTCCATGAATATTTGAGTTTAGCTTTCAAGTAGGTGATTCTCACTGAATACTTTTTAATAAACTAGCTTCTAAATAGTTTGAAGAAGGACTTTTCTGGAAAGTTGTGTAGATGATATCTAGGAAAAAAGAGATAGCTTAGAATACTTCTCATGTGCCTAAAGCATACATCGTGCTATGGTCCATTGTTCCAAATCCATCAGAGGCTTGGGTCACAAGCTGATAATTTACTGTTCTTTCCCAAGGATGGGTGCTACTCAAAGATGTTTAGAGTACAGCCTAACCTTGCAAAAGGTGATTTCCCTTTCATTTTCACTGAATTGTGAGATTCTGATCTAGATGGTGAATTTCAATTCACTGAACATTTGCTGGTTATCTATAATATTACTACAGTGCTAAGAACTAGAGATTCTATGATGAGGACAGAACCTCACTGGAGAAGCCTGGTGTCAGATCATAGCATCATCATAATGCAGTAGCTAGATGAAAGAGGTTACGGGAAAGATCCTCAATTCCTTTTACCTACAGGGGTCTGGCAGTTCAACATGAGAAGTGGGTTGGATCAGAAAAACGGTGTAGAATACTGGAGGTGATATGGGAGCCTAAGCCTAGTATTACCGAACTCTTCATTAAAAAATGGGTACTTACTATTTTACTTGAATTGCCAGGATTTAAAACACCAGGCAGGGTAAATAAGACTACATCAGGATGAGTCAGATGCAGTCCACAGTCACTACCTGTTTATGATCTTCTGGGTTATGCCCTAAAATACTGGGCTATTGATGCAAATGACTTATTTCACAGACAATACTCAGAAGTGGTTTGTTTAGTGTGATACTGCCTCAGTACTCACACAGCATTGTTTAAAAAAATAAAAAGAAGCTAAAAGAAATGATCAGACTTGATTTTTTAAAGTAATGCATAAGAGTGTTTAAGTGAAGGGTGATGAGAGACTGTCCCCTGAATGAAGTACTTCCACTACTGGGAGCTACGTAGTTGTTTTCATTTCTAAAGTCCAGAGATGGTTTGCAGGGCTTTAGAGTGATCTGAGCAGGGCTTAATTGCTCCCGAGCACTTTCCAATAGCAAGTTTGTCTACTTTATTGCAGGGCCCAGAGGTTCCCCCAAGACCGCCTGATAATAATTTGGTATTTGGAGGCTCCTGTGTCCCTGCAGGAACTAAAGGAGGCTAAACCCATGCCTGATGGAGGAGAAGAGTTCTATGGTTATCTGCAAATTCTGGCCAGACAACATCTTGACGTCACTCCTTAGCTTCCAAAACCTAGCCAAGCAAGAAGTTGCCTTCCCAAGACAAAGCAGTGTGCTCTAATGACTAACCCCTCAAAGTGCTATGCCACTTAACTATAGACCATCTCGACCAATTGGGATGGCAAGATGGAGCTGATGAGCTCAGCAACATCAAGGCTGGAGTTGGTCTTTAATTCAACCAGTCGGTTTAGATGTGTCTGAAAACCATGTCATCTTACAGCATGGGCTGCTTTCCCAGTAGGATTTACAAATTTGACTCAAGAGCAACTATGTTGCCATACTCTCCTTGACTGCTGAGAAAGGTTTTGACAGGGTACAATGGAAACACACCTTCTGATCTGAGAAAAACAAAAGTAAAACAAAAAATGTTAACCAGCAGAACTTCCAACTCATCAATTTTGGGTTGACTCTTGAAAGGTGGGACTACATTAGATCCATAGATTTATTGTCATTCCTAAAACTGTGTCTTTTTAGGACAGCATTGTAAATTAGTTAGGGTCCTAGGTCTTGGGCCTAAATTCAACTAGAATTGTCTCAAAATATGTACCTGTATGTATTTGTCCTTGTAGAGCCTGCTCTCTATGCCTACCCAGGGCTAGTAACTCCCTGTGGCAGAGTCATATAAAGAATTATGATGTTTTTCCCACTTTCATTCTATTTAGAATTAAATGAATATTTATGGATTTCCTCCAGAATGTGCCATATATCTGTTGGTATTATAGTGTGTGTGTGTGTGTGTGTATGTGTGTGTGTTCCCACTGGTTACATGCTTATTAAGCACTTATATAGATAAGCACAGATTCGTGGACCAGCTAGGACTAAGGAAATAAGGTGTTATAAAGGGAGGGAGTGTTTGAACAGTAGTTGAAAATATTACATGGAGATTCCATCCTGCCCCTCTTAACTGCTGTGTTCACCTTGTCATTGTGATAGTGAACACAGGCAGGGGACATAGGTGATATTTTTCACAGAACCACAGAGGCTTTGAACGTATTTGCAACATTACTTTGAGTATACATGAGCAAAAACCATGAATTACATCCAGGGCCCCAGGAGCTCATTAGGTCAAAGAACAAGGGCCCTGAGAGTTATCTGAGGTTATCATCAAACTTCACTGCAGATGTTTGACTGTGGTCCATTTCAGTGATCAAGAATAGGACATATAAACAGTCGGAAACAATCGCTTTGGCACTGTCCTGTCCTTTGCCTATTAATTTTGTCTTTCAAAAATATACTTTATTCTAAGCATTTAATTGGCCAAATAATAGCTACT